GGATTCAAACTTGGTTGTAAAGTCTTTACAAGTTACTCCGCTATACACTTATTCGATCGGGTCTAGTCGACGATATAGCCCTTTCTTTTTGACGAGCTCTACTGGAAAGTGTGCAGCAAAAAATATGTGCAGCTCTTCTCAGAGTGGGGTTTAGCAGAAAAGGAAAACGGATTTGGGATAGTTGATTGGTAGAGATGCTTCCGCTATACATCTCTTTCCAAATCGTCACTGCGATTCCGTATTTTCTCTTGTGCTCCGACGTCGCCAAATCGGATCCAGAATGGTAATCGAAGGCAGCTGTTTTTCCAAATACACGTGGTAACAGCCTTTTCATTGGTCGAAGTTCTCTACTTTCGGAACTAAAGCGTTCACATGCTCTATGATAAAGAGGCAGTTGGCCCAAACTGCGTGGATCGTTTCTCAAAGCAAATTTTTCGAAAACGCTGCACATTTAAGAACGTACGAACTCATTAAAACAATTCTCCTGCCACAACTCAAATCCCATATGGTCCACTGCAAAAAATTGCTTCTCTTACAAATCTTTGCCATCCGACTAGTCCATTTAGAGTGTGAAGGTTTTTTGCTGCTATGTTAAAAGAATTAGAACTGAGGAGAGGACAGTGGGCTGTTTCATAGTTACTATATTCTTAAGTAAGTGAGTAAGAGCTGACTAACTGTTTGAGGAAAGTCCTTTTGTTCAAAGGCAGACATATTAACTATAACTCCTAACCGAATCTTTTGTACGTATTTTGACTCGGTTATCATTTTCAATAATTCGAATTTCTTGGATAAGACATAGTTACCCTGAATAGCTGCGAACTTTTATACAAGAGCGCGTCTTTTTCTTGATGGTTCGGGAACTTATTGTATGTCGTTGGATGAAACGGATTTATTTGTATCATAAAGCAAATAAGCTCTAGTTGCTTAAATGTCGAATGTTGAGAACTAAGCTTATAGCTAAGTTGGCATTTCTCAATGGTATTGCATTTATCAGCAAGTATTTGTATTCACATTCCATCTATGATTCCGAATATATAAGTCTTAACTCAACTGTTGCGGCATTCTCAGAGCAATAATCAATTATGTTACCATTCCAGAGATGAAAGTCATGTATGACGAGCCATCGCCATCATCCACCATCAGCGAACCAGTTGTCAGGGTAGGAAAGCATGACATTCAGTTTCTAATCGAAATCTCATGGTGTATTGAAGGTGCCCAGAAACAGGCAGGAAAATCGCCTTTATAAGCGCGAATTTATCGATGATAACAACGTACATCTTGCCTACTTCAACTTCCGCATATTATGGCCGGTTACTGCTATTTCAGTCACGATGTACACTTGTTTCATAAGTAAGTACTTGTCACAGCTTGATTCCGCATTGTGCTGGATTTTTCT